TGAATAGACCACATTTATTTGTCCATGCTAATTGCACTACTCTACAATGCCACCTTTGCCATAAACCAAATGTCTGTGTATGAGGGTCTGTTTCTGAATTCCTTATTCTATGTCATTGATGTATTTATTTATTCTTGTGCTAAAACCTTACTGTCTTAATTACAGCTACACAAGTAGCTTAGCTTGTATATATAGCTGTGTAATATATCTTAATTTTAGCTGTACAGAAGTCTTGATATCTGACAGAATAAGTCTTCCCATTTTGTTCTTCTTTTTAAAATTACCTTGATTATTCTTGGCCATATGCACTTCCATATAACTTTTACAATTAGCTCAAAATTATCCCTCTCCCCTTCAAAAAAATTATGCTGGAATTTTGATTGGGAATCCTTTGAGGAGAACGGACATTTTTACTGTATTGAATCTATCCCTGAAAGTGGCATGTCTATTTATTTCAGTCTTTAATTTCTCTCAATAATGTTTTATAGTTTTCTGTGTAAAGATCTTATATGTCTTTTATTAGATTTATTCTTAGGTATTTTGTGAGTTTTTTTTGTTTGTTTTGGTGACTGGCTGGTACGGGGATCTGAACCCTTGACCTTGGGGTTATCAGCACCACGCTCTAACCAAGTGAGCTAACCAGCCAGCTTATGGTGAGGTTTTTTGATGTTATCATAACTGGAATTTAAAAAAATTAGTTCCTAATTTTTGTTTGTATTAGAAGGCTGGCTGGTTAGCTCAGATGGTTAGAGTGTTAGAGTGCAGCCTTGTAATACTAAGGTCTGCCAGTCAGCCACCAAAAAAAATTTTTTAAAAAGCAACACGGTGGAGCTTATTCCTAAACTATATGAATTCTATGTTGGTTGCTTGAGAGAGATTGCCTAGGCTCGCTTTCTCGCTCAGCTAATATGACTGGAACTCGGAATGCAGGGATGCTTTTCTTCCTTCTTCAGATATTCTGAGCCCTCTCCCAGCCAGCCCACATTTGGGAGCAGGCTGGCAAACATGGAGCTGGAGGGGATCAGAGTGACGGTATTTCACCAGTGCTGCCACTCTGGCCATTCTCAAACCCACAGGCTTCTCTCTCGTTCTCAGCTCACCAAGGATGAAGCTGTAAACCCATTCACCACCAGGCGTTGCAGACATCCTGGAGTGATGATGACAGCACCTGTGTCCTCCAACTCATCCCTGCTTTGTTTTCCAGGTTTATAAAGGAGAATTTCAACTACCTGACTTTCTTAAAGAAAAACCCCAGGTACTGTATACTGTGTCTCCTTTCTCCTCTTGATGTATATATAATGCATGAGCTCTTGCACTGAAGCAGTCTTTACAAAGAAATAATGAAATAAAAACAAGAAAACAAAAGAGAAAAAGAGAGAACAGTGCGTGTTGATGGAAGAAATGATATGTGGCCTCTAGTACTTGTTGATTTTAATAATCATTTAACACAGTCTTAATTTCAGAGAGCTCAGTGTCTTTCAAAACTAGGAAGATACTTGATTGATAACTAAAGTCTGATTGCTTGAGGTCATGCACAAGCCATAGAGCATTCCACACATAAAAAGTGTGCTATGGCAAATCTGCTCCAGCCCTCTAATTTTAAATAAAAATGTTCAGCCACCTTCTTTGTTATTACACACACATCCATGGCCTTTTCACTTTTCTCGTTTGGAGCCTAGAAGACCTGTGAATATACACAGCCACTGGAACTTGGTGAGATTTTGAAGCTTGTTACTTTTACATTTTAAAAAATTAATTTCAAGAGATCTAGAGTTATCCCTATAAGTCACACTCTCACTCCCTCACATTCCAGTATTGTTGAGTTGGAGAGAAACGGAGTGTTCTGGCTGACATGCCTGGAGTAGCTCAGAGAGTGTCCTGCATCTCAGCGTCCTCCGTCATTCCATGTAGTAGTCAGGAAAAACGGATAACCACTTCTTGTGACTGCAGCAGACCTCCCTTTCTAGCACAGTGACCATGCATGTTGCCTGTAAGCTGCTGCTGTCAGTGATTAGCTTTTTAATAGGAAAGGAAGACTCAGTACTGAACTCAGTTTCTAAAAATGTTCCCAGTATGGGTTGGTGAGGGAAACACCATATCATAGACTTACATAAAGTCACGTTGCCGGCAGCAAGCCTGGAGTGAAGGCACTGCCTTCTCTGATCTTGTCTGATAACAGTCAGCCACCAGGAATTGATATATAGTAACTGAGAATTCCAAAGTACTTTTAAGGCATATTCTTATTAGCAAATGTTCAATATTCATTCATTCAACAAATATTTACTGAGTATCTATTATGGGTAAGAAACTAGAATAAGTCGTCAGAAGTCAGAAGGAAAAAAATATCTCAAAGAACTCCTGATGTATCCGAAAGACTCTGATCAATTCTTGCAGACAAAGATGATGTCCCAGAAACTTAGGTAGAATCATGTACAGACTCACTTTCAGGCTGTGGGATTTGGAGCCAGAGAATGATCCAAGAGGCACTGTTGAAGAAATGTCAAATCCAAAGACTGGTTTACATAAGTATGAAGGAATCAAGAAAGAGAATTTGAGTCTAAAATTACAGGATACCTCTGCTTCACAGCTTACACAAAATTGTTTTCAGGTGGGTTATAGAAAGGCAAAATAATGAAGTTATTAGAACATAATAGAGGAGAATAACTTCATAAACTTAAGACAGAAGAATTTCTTACACAGTCATGAAAAGTACTGATTATTAATTTAAAGATGGATAATTTGGACTACATTAAAATTGAGAATGCTTACTTCTTAAAGTCATCATAAAGAGAGTAAAAAGTAAGCCCCAAGAGAAAATATTTGAAACAAAGGACTCATCTGCAGAATATAGAGAATTCCTACAAATCCATTAGAAAAAGATAACAAGGGCCGAGCCTGTGGCACACTCGGGAGAGTGCGGCGCTGGGAGCACAGTGGCGCTCCCGCCGCGGGTTCAGAGCCTATATAGGGATGGCCGGTGTGCTCATTGGCTGAGCGCGGGGCGGCCAGTCTCAAAAAGGACCAAAAAAAAAAAAAGAAAAAGATAACAAGGGCCGAGCCTGTGGCACACTCGGGAGAGTGTGGCGCTGGGAGCACAGTGTTCCTACAAATCCATTAGAAAAAGATAACAAGGGCCGAGCCTGTGGCACACTCGGGAGAGTGCGGCGCTGGGAGCACAGTGGCGCTCCCGCCGCGGGTTCAGATCCTATATAGGGATGGCCGGTGTGCTCATTGGCTGAGCGCGGTGCGGCCAGTCTCAAAAAGGACCAAAAAAAAAAAAAAAAAGAAAAAGATAACAAAATTGCTGGATGGTTAGCTCAGTTGGTTAGAGCGCGGTATTGATAACACCATGGCCAAGGGTGTGGATCCCCATATCAGCCAGCCACCTAAAGAAAACACAACAAAGAAAAAGATAAAAATTGGGCAAAAGACTCAGCAGGCAATTCAGATCCTTTACTGTGGTTAGTTTCATTTAATGCATCATGCATATTTAGAAAAAGGTCTATAAAGGACTTTTGTTTAACTTAGAACGAACGAGAAAACTGAAGCCCACAGAACCCTCAGGTTTGATAATTTGCTAGAATGGTTCACAGAACTCAGAAGAGTGCTGTATTTACAATTACAGTTTTATTACAAAGGATACAACTCAGGACCAGCCAAATGTAGAGACACTTGGGGTGAGGTCCAGGGTGCTCTGAACATGGCTGCTGTGCCCTCCCCGCCGAATCTGGGCACATCACCTTCCCAGCACATCACTGTGTCTGTCCATATTTAATAACCATGTAAAAGTTCATGGAAAAATAGGATTAAAAGATAATATGGGGGCCGGCCCGGTGGCGCACTGCTACAGTGCGCTGCTTGGGAGCGCGGTGGTGCTCCCGCCGAGGGTTCGGATCCCACATACAGACTGGTTCCCGCTCACTGGCTGAGCGAGGTGCGGACACAGCACCGAGGGTTGCGATCCATTGCCGGACACGAAAAAAGACAAAAAAAAAAAAAAAGATAATACGAATCTTTCCATGGACTTTTTGGAGTACTCTCTTGTGTGTGCATGTGTGTGCGTGCATGTGCTGGCGATTTCTTTCAGTTTTCAAACCACTCTGGTGAGTAGGTGGTATTATTCCTGTCACACTGAGGAGAAAACTGAGTTTGGGTAATTTAAGTAAGAGATTGTTAGGACTTGCTGTGTGCTAATGGATTATAGACATAAGAAGCAAATGAACACTGCTATGTCAAAATCACAGATGGCAGTGATCTAACAATGTTAATAGGCTTCAGGACTATGGTTGTCTTTTGCTAAGAAGCAGAAGCTGGAGGTTACACTTACACTCTGTGGATATGCATGTATGACGTGTGTATCAGGCCGTGGATAACTCTTGTTTACCCAGAATGCTCTCAACCGCCTTGTAACATCAAGGTCAAGGGTTTGGATCCCCATACCAGCCTGCTGACAAAAAACAAACAAAATGCTTCCAAAGTTTATAGGCAACCCTCCCACCCCTCCCTAAACACACACACAGGGGCTCATTCACTGACCATTGGGTGTTTTATAGGATAGGACACCTTACGTTGACCCCAGCCCTCAGTCCTCCTCATTTGCTTGCTGAGGCCTTCAGTGCCACATGCACTGAGAGAAGGACTCCAGAAGCTGGGAAGGTGGCCGGGCATCCCAGACACTGGAATTTCACCTTGTCTTTTGGCTCTCGTGGGCATCCCACTGACAGTCACCTTGTTCCCTAGAGCTTCATTTAGAGGGCGCTAGTACACTCCTCTTCAGATGAGGAGAGTCACACCTTGAGATGACAGCACAGTCCTCTAGAAATCAGCGGCAGTTGGCCACCACCTGCCTGTCTTGTGCATACAAGTTAACTCTCAGGCGTCCAGCAGGGATGGTGCCTCCCCTGCCCACTGCACCACAGAGCCTGCGGGGCCTCGGCAGGGAGGAGTGGGTGGAGACGGACGCCACGCACACCCGTAACCGCACTGTGCTTGTCTGCCAGGAGAGACTGCTGGCTTTTCAACTGAAGGGAGCTGTCTAGGACCAGCTTCCCCCTGCCGAGACCAGCGGAGTGTGTGCACCCGGAGAAGGGCAGCGGCCCCAAGGATCTGCTTCTCGAGTAAAGTGCGCTGGGTACCAGTGACATGCACGGCGATATCTCCGGAGGAAGAGCCCGAGGGCGCCTGTGCTTTCTGTTAAAACTGCTCTTGTCCTCATGTTCTTTTTACCGGATTCCAAACTTTGTTTTTGAGGGAGGGTTTAAAAATGGGAGTCTGTAAGCAAAATTGGGCAATTTGATTTTGGAATAGGTTGTCTGTACATGTTCTAATGTTTTGTAGAACACTTGTGCCTGTTTAAATGGGTTGATGTGGATAATATTGAATATCTTAATTATTTAAATAATTCATTGTTTCTGAGAAGTTGAGAAATTACCGTATACATTTACAACTTAAAACCTTTTGTATTTTATTTTTCAAAATAAAAGCTTTAAATGTGAAGTGTTCTAGTACTTACATATTTTCATTAATGTAATTTCAGAGAAGCACAGACCTTATCAGGTGGTGGTCTGGTAAACCAGTTTCTTCACTTGGTTTAGTCCATTTTGTGTTGCTGTAACAGAAATACCTGAGACTAGGTAATTTATAAAGAACAGAGGTTTATTTGGCTTACGATTCTGGGACAGCTGCATCTGGCACAGGCCTCAGGCTGCTTCTACTGATGGCAGAAAGTGGCAGGGAGCCAGCAGGTACAAGCAGATCACATGGCGAAAGGAAGCAAAAGAGAGAGAGAGAGAAGGTACCAGGGTCCTATAAACAACCAGCTCTTGCAGGAACTAATACAGCGAGAACTCACTCATTACTCCCCCCACCTAGGGAGAGCATTAATCCATTCATGAGGGATCCACCCCCATGACTCAAACAGCTTCCAGCACTGCCACATTTGGGGATCAGATTTCCACATGAGTTTTGGTGGGGACAACACACCCAAACTCTATCAGCTGTATTGCAGGCATCATAATCTCTTAGTGAAGTTTTCTGTGTTTATTTCAGAGAGACCTGTTGCTATCCATTTTCAGAATCCTATTTCATGCTTGCATATTCATTTAAGAACAGAGAAGTTAACCATTTTTATGGAACACAGAATTACCAGAGAGTAGTAATAATTCCCATTTATTGATTGTGTTCTTTTTTTTTTTTTAAAGATGACCGGTAAGGGGATCTCAACCCTTGACTTGGTGTTGTCAGCACCACGCTCAGCCAGTGAGCAAACCGGCCATCCCTATATAGGATCCGAACCCGTGGCCTTGGTGTTATCAGCACCGCACTCTACCAAGTGAGCCACAGGCCGGCCTTTATTGATTGTGTTCTATGTGCCAGGCACTGGACAAGGTATTTTACAGGTTACCTCATCCCTGCGCCAAAACCTGTACCTCCTCTAGTCTTATCCGTATCAGCTGCAATATTTTCTACCTGTTCACTCAGTCCAGAAACCTGAGTCATACTTGATTTCACCCTTATCCTCCCTCTTCCCACCCATATACTAGATCTTTGGTGCTAACTTCAAAGTATTTCTCAAGCTCACTATCCCCACCCTAATCTGAGACATGACCGCCTCTCCCCTAGGCTGTTGCAATAGATACCCTCCTAAACAATATCCCCACTCCTTCCTACTCTTGCCCCCTCAAGTCTGTTCAGCATTCAGCAGAACAATAGTTTTACAATACTCATCTGGACATGATGCCCCCACTTACAGCTTTTCAGTGGCTTACCATTTCATTTAGGGTAGAACCAGACTCCTGCCACGATCCAGCCAGGGCCCTCCTCCCCAACTCGTTGCAGGCTATGTCCCCCACCTCACCCTTATGCTCTAGGGTTCTTTGCACTTCCTGGAACACCTGAAACTTCTCCTGCCTCTGCACATGTTACTCCTCTCCTCGGAATGTTCATTTGCTCTGTGCCGGCTAGCGTCCTTCCAAATTCTCTGGTCTCAATGAGTTTCTCTTCCTCAGAGATTTTCCCTGGCCTCTTGAAATAAAAAGTAGATCCCCCTCCTGCCTAACTTCTTCATAGTACTTATCACACTTAGCAGTTTTTTTTTTTTTGTCTTTTTTCGTGTCCGGCAACGGATCGCAACCCTCAGTGTTGCGCCCGTACCGGACCGGGATCGCAACCCTCAGTGTCGCACCCGCACCTCGCTCAGCCAGTGAGTGGGAACCGGTCTGTATGTGGGATCCGAACCCTCGGTGGGAGCGCCACCGCACTCCCAAGCGGCGCACTGTAGCAGTGCGCTACCAAACCGGCCCACACTTAGCAGTTTTTAATCTGTTTGTTGACTTTTTAATTGTCTATCTCTTATGCTAGATAGTAGGTTCCTAGAAGACCAAGACTGTCTTTTCTCATCTAGTTTTGTACCCTTGGCACCTAGCAAAGTGTCTGGCACTTTTTAGGAACCAAGTAAAATACTTGGTATATGATGAATCCTCCCAGGAAGCTTCTGACATACATACTGTTTTACAGATGAGGAAACAGAGGGTCCACCAATCAAGTCACTTACAAAAGGCCTCCAAGCTGGGGCTGCATTAGTGACCTGGTATCCAGGCCCAAGCCTGACCCTAATGTTCTTTCTACTTCACTCTCCTAGCCCTGTCCCCTCCAATTTAAAATGAATACTGGGGGCCGGCCCAGTGGCGCACTGCTACAGTGCGCCGCTTGGGAAGCACGGCGGCGCTCCCGCCGAGGGTTCGGATCCCACATACAGACCGGCCGCTCACTGGTTGAGCGAGGTGCAGGAGCAACACCGAGGGTTGTGATCCCGTTGCCGGTCCCGGTCCGGTACGGGCGCGACACTGAGGATTGCGATCCGTTGCTGGTCACGTAAAAATACAAAAAGGAAAAGAAAAATAAAAAATAATAAAAAATAAAAAATAAAATAAAATGAATACTGGTCCCAGGTCAATCTTGTGTTCAGCATTATGTTTTAAGTCACTCCTTTGCTCAAGAGCCTTTGATTCTCTAATGCCTAACACATTACATCTAAACGTCTAAACTATTCTGTCGCTGCAATATGGTCTCACTGCTCCCTTGTATGCGGTACTCTCTCTCCTGTCTCCCTTCATTCTCTTCACTTTCTTTTCTGCGTCTTCCATATGCCCGTACACCCAAGCCCCCTAACTGGTAAACCCCAGCCTCCTTAGGGCTCGGCTGTCTTAAGTCCCAACTCTTCATGAAGTCCTACTCAACTGCTCCAGCCTCCAAGTAGCAATAACATCAACTTCAGCACGACATAATAGTTGTTTTCTCTACTTGTTTCCTGTGTCAGTCTTCTGTCACCAACTTTGTAGGTAAGAGGTGATATGCCCCTCCAGAGCCTATCAGAATGGGAGGTAAGAACATTTTTAAACTATGACCCACCCAGATCTTAAGACTTGCCCCTAAGGGAATGTGTGGTTTTTATTCTTCTCACCTGCCCACCCCTGGAGAATCCACTGTCACAGATGGGAGTGTATTAGAATAGGGCAGGCAGGGAGAAGCACTGCACACAGTGGCTGGTCAGAGCAAAGGCTTCCGTTCCCAGCCAGGCTGCAGAGGCGAACGCTGGTGCTTCTGCATCCCTGTTGACATTCCTCTTTCACAAGCCTTATTTCCTTCTGGTCTGAGCACATTTCTCTTGAGCTCTGTGAAGAAAAGCATTTCTTCCATTTGGTGTATTAGATCACCTTCAGCATTTTATGAAGGTGACTTTGTGTTCGTGAAATGTTATGATTTGATGGAACCAAATCAAACTCCTGTTGAACAAGTGAAAGTTGGCTAGAGTAAAGTTTAAGAGGTAACTGGGTGAGGGACCAGGGTAGACATGCTCCCTGGACCCAGTGTAGTTACGGCCAAACCACCAAGTGATCTGGGGAACCCAGGGCATCAGCCGCAAAGAATCATAGAATTTAAGAATGAGAGAAAAAACCTTAGTGATCATTTAGTCAAGTAATCACCCAGTAACATTTATCAAGAGTTCCTCGTGATTCAGACCCTGTGCTAATCACTCTCTATATTTAAAGTCATTTAATTCTCATAATCACCCTCTGGGGTAGGTACTGTTACTGCCCACATTTTAAAAGATGATGAAACATTGGCTCAGAGAAGTAAAGTGCCTTGCCGGAGATTACCCAGCTAGTTAGGGACGAGGTCAGGATACAAACTCAGGCAGCCTGGCTCCAGAGCCCACGTCCTCAACAGCTGTTCTACTCTGCCTCTCAATAATCATCTCTGTACAAGAATAGAAACTCATCAGTAGCTGAGGGACAACTTTTAAGTACCTCCCTATACTTAGTGATTTGGTGGGTGTAATTGTATGTGTTAAGTGTATGCAGATCTCTGCCCCTTAGAACTTTATGATCTTGAAAATCAAGAAAAATACACATAAAATCCTTATTAACAAAACTTACAGTGCAAGTGCTCCTTTACTTACCACGGGGTTACATCCTGATAAGCCCATTGTAGATTGAAAATGCCAAAAGTCAAAAATGCATCTAACAGGGCCGGCCCGGTGGCGCACTGGATAAGTGCGCCGCTTGGGAAGCGTGGCGGTGCTCCCGCCCGAGGGTTCGGATCCCACATACAGACCGGTTCCCGCTCACTGGCTGAGCGAGGCGCGGGAGCGGCGCCGAGGGTTGCGGTCCCATTGCCGGTCCCCAGTCTGGTGCGGGGGCAACACTGAGGGTTGCGATCCGTTGCCGGACACGGAAAAAGACAAAAAGACAAAAAAAAAAAAAAAAAA